AATAAAAAAAGTATTTTTTAGGCTGAATAAAACCCTTACTTAAATACTAACATCTAGACTAGTTATGGTACACTACAGATAGCACATATATTCTTTAATAATCACGGCTCATTTACAAGGACCCCACTCCACAATTACAAGTTAGAGTGGCGCTAAGGCGTTGGGAATGGATTAGAGTTCAAGGGTGGTGATATTGACGATGTATGTATGTATGTATTGCATGCCACCCTCGAGCCATATCTCGAATAGTTTTCACCACCAGTACCTCGATCTATCATTTGTGAAAGTCTTGCTTCAACTCTAGACGAAAATACCATAAAAACATATAAGTGGTGACAGCACTGACAGGTGCAAGCCATTTCAGTTGTTTCATTAGTGAACATGTTTGATATTCAATGTTTCCATTGCACATGACATAACACACTCATCATGTCATCTCTTGGTTCAAGGATGTATTACTATTAGGTGACCCCAATGCATTTTCGCAATGTGCGACATGTGCAAATGTGGACAGCTGTTATATCCTTGGGCCCATCTCTTCACCATGTTGGCCTTGCCGGTTCACACTAGCATGTCTGCCATGATCTAGCTGTTGCAACATGGCTTCAGATGGTAACATACAACTCTCAACGCACTCGTTGTACCGAGTGATGGGTCGTTTGTTTAAAACCAATTTAAAGTAACCAGATGTCAGCATTACAGGTGATTTCATGTATTGTGGATTTGGGTCAAAACTAAAGGTTCTGTTAATGTTACTAGAGTCTGTAAAGCCCTGGGATTGAGTTGATGAGCAGCTATAGCCTGCTGTGGCAGCCAACAATTATGGTCCAGGGTAAAATATTGTTTAGCTCTACTCTGGTACATCTTTGCTTGTCAACAGGCTGTTTGTGGAATGAATCATATGGATGTGTGTATTTATCATTTATATGATTTGGTGCACAGGCACTTGGAACACATGCGTCTAAACAGAGGAATTGCTCCGACCTATGATTAGAGGATAAAAATAAAATTTGTGACGTTTCGTTTTCATTTTGGCATTTAGCCTATGACTATGAGCGATACTGCGCGTACTATTCGCTAATTAATTAGACTAATTGTGCTTCGATAAACTCAGAATTCACAGAGATTATAGCTAAGACATGTGTCTATAATAGCTAGAATGTATAGAAATGTAACCCAAATTGTTCGCGCCATATGATAGTTAGTGCACTTTCCCACCGGTCATAGCATAATAGGCTAGCGTATGCGGCGGCGGGGGGGGGGGGGGGTTAACAGCTGCATACAATGCGCCAGTGTGCTCACTACGAGCGGTGCGAGCAAAAACGAAACGTCATGAAATTCTATTTTTATCCTCCAATCACAGGTCGGAGCAATTCCTCTGTTGATAGACGCATGTCTTGGAACGTCTCAATAAAAAAAATAATGGTAAATAAACACGAAATGTATTTACTACCAGTCTTGGTGTTTTTCTACTCTATTTCGCCTATTATTGCCGATAATCACCTGTAAATGCCGGTCAAATAAAGAGCTCTCTTATTCTTGTTGTTTGTGCACAGGGCGTGCGTCACAAGCCCTTGGAGGCTCAAGTTTCAAGAAGAGTATAAGACTATATATTAAGAGCGAAGCGGTTCCGCTCACACCGCTTCGCTCTTAACATATAGTCTTATAGTTATACTCTTTTTGAAACTTGAGCCTCCAAGGGCCTGTGGTGCAGTGTACTTGTGTGTTGCAGAGGAGCATTTGGCCGGCATTTACAGGTGATTATCGGCAATAATAGAGTAGAGAAACACTAAGACTTTGGTAGTGAATACATTTCGTGTTTATTTACCATTATTTTTTTTATTGAGACGTTCCAAGTGCCTGTGATTTGGTCATTGCCATTGCCATTGGTGTACTGTACATCAGTATATATAATAATTGTATGAAAGTCAACTATTGAACTAAGTAAATATTCATTAATAACACATTATATCATTAATTTATCAGTGAATACGGTAGGACTAGTATAGTACAGTAGTGTAGTATAGTATAGTCTAGAGTATAGTGTTGCAATTTTGGAGTTGGGTTGCACACGACGCGTGTTATTGTATTTAAACAGCTCACCCTAGATTTGGATGTATTAAGATTTTCATTACGACCTATAGGTCGCTTAAACTTTTCACCAGCATCTGTACACGGGAAATGATCCATTCCACAATAAAAGTGCCCACTAACATGTCGAATAACATGTCGAAATAACAGTAAACATTTTCAAACCATGCGCCATTTCAATGTGTTGTTGTTTTGTATATTTTGCATAGGTGGCGTTGTATGCAAAGATGTCAGCCTCCATGTCTCGGCGTTTATTAATGAATTGTACAAAATTATTAAAATGCGTCATATCTCCTCTGAGAAACCGATATGGAACCATGAGTGTAGAGAAACGCAAGTTTACGTTGGTTACTTTGACTAAACCAATAATATTCTTACCATACCCAAACGACATGACTAGTAATAGTATAGACTATACTT